AGGCCAGGCCACTAGCACAAATGGTGCATGTGCCCCGTTTGTTACTAGCAAGTTTCACTAATTCGATCAGTCTAAAAAACACACCGAACCAAGGTTGTGCTTTGACCAACATCCACTTTTGTTGTTCCTTGGGACATCTAAAGCCACGAAAACCATTCATGGCATTAGAGATTTTGAAGGTGTGTTTGGTTTGTGTGGCAGAACCTCCTAAATTATAGGGTCCACATGCACCTGTCACTGTCCAACGACCTTTGACATTTATGCATATGTTCCCGATAACTTAAGAAGAATGTCGGGTGTCCTCGGGGAACCCCGAATCATCTACGATTTCCGAGCAGGATCACATTACAGAGTCATTGCAGTATTGCAACAGTTTATTCAAATAAATACACCAGAGTAAAAACAGCGGAAGTCTTACAATAACATAGTTTACAAACCATTTGTTTCAAACCATCCAACTAAGTTCGATTAATATTACAAAACATAGTAGTGGAGTGGCATTATATTATATTACAGAACACACAATTAAGCTGCCCTGCCCAAGGGCCACACATTTACTTATCGTCATCGCACTGAACAACAGTCATGCAACACGATCCAAAATAGATCTGCTCATGAGCCTCACCTGCAACAAGGGTCAACGAACCCTGAGTATAAAAGTACTCAACAAGACTTAACCGAAATAAAATTGATAAGACTCAGGTATACAGGCTCAGGGATTCAAGGTATGGCTTTAGCAATAATCAAAGTTCTTTTGCGTAAAAGCTCTTTAACAAAATTCTTTATATCAACATTTAAAACTTCATAAGATCATATACAAAGCTGACACGATCTGCAATGAGATCATGAAACTTCATATCCAACACTTTCTTGAACCATTCTCAAATTCTAGTTATTTAATTACAACGATGATGAATAGTGAGTTGAGTCTCCATAACCGAGGAGCAACGACGATTCGAACCGATTAAAAACCCAGCTGGGAATTCCAGACCACACGACATATGCAGGTCCCCGACCTACATATACCAACCCACCCTAGGATCCTCTAAAACAAGAACGGGTCCGCGCCACCCGAGAATACAGTACTCCACTAATTCAGCCCATTGCCACGTGGGTACACGCTATTTCCACCATCTCTCCACTCCCAGTGCACGAGTAGCTATTCTCATAATAGAATAGCCAAGTTAAGGCTTAACGGAGTATGTGGTTAGTACTACAAAGTCTCACCTCATGCAATTCAACAACGGACGGACCTTAATCGACACAGGCGGAAAGAACCTGCTCACAAGACCTCCATGTCTTGTGGCTCACAAACACCGAGTCCGCCCGGTCTAGATTTATTACTCCACATTCCCATATCACATGTTAACATAATTAACCAAAGTTCCATTTAAAACTTACAGATGATAGGTAATCACCCGACTTTCACCGTTCTAAGCATAGCTAAGCAAAACTGGCCATATACGAATTTAAAACTGGTAATATGGTAAATATAGAATAACAAGGTTGGTAATGCACCAATTAGGTTTCCACTTAACTCCTAATCACTTAATGCAACATATAAAAGCAAAAGTGAAATCAATTTGTAAAATACAAGATAGGGTTTTATGCATCCGGGACTTGCCTTCGTTGACGGAAAAATCTGGGTCCAGAGTCGTTCAACCGATATCAACACCAACCTCCATAGACGGATCAACCTCCTCAACCACTTGATTAACTACCACGTGTTCACCTTTGTTCACTACACGTAGTAACAATGCCATGTTTAACATGAAGCGGAATACGAAACATGATGCTCGATGATGGATGCAAAATTAACAACTTGAATACAACTTTCTTTCGCGATACAGTTACAAGTTAAACTAACTAAACTATTTTCGCAACACTCACATCCATTGCCAAGGATCATCACCAACTAATGACCCAAAGACATCACTCAATCAAAAACTCAAACAAAACCTAAATCACTAAAGGTTACCATTTGTTTTTATGAATTAATTAATTAATTAAGAATTATGAAATAAATCAACTTGTTCCAATTGAGCTCAAATTTTTTTTAAATGTTCATCACATGAAAACTAAGTAGCAAAACCAATTTTTATAATTTTTGGATACATAAATAAGCCTAGAAAAATCCTAAAAACTTATTTATTAATTAATTGAGCAATTTTTATCACATTCAAAAAGTACTGAAAATCAACATTTCATATTTTTCCTAAATAATACACATCACAGAGAAGTCACACAAAAAATTTCAGAATTTTTGGAGCTCTAAATAAATCTACACAAAAATAACAAAAACAGACGCTATTCATTTAAATCTAAAAAATAGAAAAATCATTTTGAACGCTGAAGTCACTGACACCATGACCCCACCTGTCATCATCAACCTCCGACGTTGACCATGGCAGCGACGGCTCTGACCGGCGATTCCTCGCCGACGGCGATATCACCGGCGACAGACAAAGCTCTAATACGTTCACGACAACAGGGGACGCATCGATTGGTGACAAAATCAGGACCCAACATCGACTGGACCGAGCACAACGCCGGTCATGGCGACGCGAATGCATGGCGGCGCTACGCCGGCGACAACAGGCCGGTAGCATTTAAACAAAAGGTCTAGAAAGCATCAGTAGCTTACCCCGAACGGTTTGGAGTCAATTACCGAGCCTAAGGAGCAACGGCAAGGTGGTTCGACGATCAGCGCAAGCACGGCGGAGCAAAACGTCGTTGGCGATGGTGTACCGGCGACTACAGTGGTCAAAATGAGCAACCAACTATGGATTAAGTACCACAGCATCGAGACGAAACGGAATCAACCAAAACCAAGGACGGAGATGCACCGTGGAGCTCTGGCCGCGGCGAATCATGCTCGGCGGAGGTGTTGCCGGCCGCGAGGAAGAAGACAATGCAACTCGAGTTCCCGGCTAAGACAAGCCGAATTGGTGGGTCGGCTGGACGCGCAAGGAGTAAGCGAAGCTGAAACTAGCTTAGCAGCGACGGTGGAGCACAACAATGACGGCGCAGGCTCGCCGGAGATGAGCAAGGCGTCGGGAAAAATAGAGCAAGGAGAAAGGGCAAAGACGACGGCGGCTCAGGCTATAAAAGGGGGCCAAGAAGCTCAAGGAAGCTGCGCTGTGGCCTTCACCGTGCCAGCACGACGCCAAAATGGCCACGACCGCGCCTGGAACGCCGAAGAAGGAAACGTCGGCAATGTAGCTTCGGCGGTGGACACTGTTCACAAAAATTACAGATATGTCATTCGCCAAAATTCCTAAATTACTCCCAAATTTTCATAACAACTCAAAAATCTCCAAAAACAAAAGTTGTTCAAAATTTAAAATTCTACAACTTTGCTTTTATAACCAACCCCTAATTCGGTCTACATTTTAAAATGAACTTTTGAATTCGAAAAGGGGACATTTAAAGAATTTCGCCTTTTCAATTAACTTCAAATTTTACTAAACAACTTGAAAAACTTCAAAAACAAACTTTGTATATCTTGACAAGATCTACACTTTTGCTTTAAGGCTCAACCCCAAAATGTGCTTCGATTTTGAAATAGGTTTTCAGGGTAGGATTTAATTATTGAAAATCAGGGTTTTCGAAATTTCAAATCAATACAAAGATTTCGAACCTGATTCAAACAATATCAAGCAATACTTATAACATAAAGATAAACTTGTTTTAGTGAATGCATATCAAAGTTTGCAATATGACCAATGCCTTGCAATGCATATGATGATATGTCCGGTTTTTAATATTTTTGATTATGGAATGTGGGAAAGCTACTAAGTTGGGGGAAAGATGTAAGTTATTTGATTGGAACAACAGTGAAATTATTGGTCTAAAGAAAATGTCTGCAACACCCTAAAATCTAGAGGCTATTTATTTGTTAACTAATCTTAAGGTATACATGAAAATTATCTTTTGGAAAAAAAATCTTAAATTTTTAATATATTGCATTCGTATTCATGTAAATAGAAAGTGAGATTAGTATAGAATACACCGTTCACATAATGATGTCTCCCGTCAACATAACTATCTCTCTCTCACTAATCAAAGCATCAGCTATCCTATTATGAATGATATTTGTGGTATCCTTAGAGCAACTTCAAGAGATTCTCTATATCCTTTCTAATTGTTAGGAATAGAGATTTTGATGAAAAAAATACTCCAACAACTTCTTTATTTGGTTATCCAAATATAGTCATATTCTAATTCAAATTTTTTGCTAACCAAAGATAGAAAACGAGAATAACACTCTAGAATGCAGACAAGATATAGAAAAACTGTTGGAGAGAAAAAAATATATAGAAAACGACATTTATGCAAATGACTCTCCAAGTGATGATTTAGAGGGTGAGCTTTAGAAGGACTCTTGAGATACTCTTACTGTTCACTTTAGGACCTTTATCTCCTGTCTTTTGTGTCACCGCATATGGCACTTATAGTAGGTACTTATGTGCATGGGATCTATTAAACTCCTTATCACGTTGAAGAGTGGCTCGGGATAGGGAAGAAAACAAACAAAACAATATGACTTGACGCTGAGTTGATGACAACATTGGTAGTCTTCATGAAACATTAGACTCCACTGCTGTGGAGGCAGGGTGTCACCTGCTATGGAAAATACATTGTAAGAACGCAGCTGCATTCGTGAAAGCTGCTTAGAATCTATAAATACCCATTTGGTTAGTGGTCATCTTTTTGACAGCAAAAGCAGGTTGCAGAAGTTAAACCAAAACGAACAATCGAGTCATATTTGTGCTGCTTGCTTCACTTTTTGAAATTTGTACTAGAGTTGAGCCTCAATTCTTATGAGCTGATATTTCAAATTTGGTTGTACCTCTTTTCCAGCCGTGACCCAAAAAATGATCAAGATTGAAAATCTAAATGGTCAAGATATTGATCTATGATTCACGAGGAAATTTTTAGTGGTCATCTTTTTTATCTGAAGAATCAAATCCTCAAATTCAGATCATCAGGAGCTGCTCTTATCCAGCTATGAATACCAAGCTTTGCCTCACTGCTGGAACCGAGCAAATCAGCGAGCCAAAAATTCCCGTGAGACCATAAGCAATGGCGCAGAACGGGAGTGCTTCAGGTTCCTTGGCTGATAGTGCTGCTGTCCCCAGTCCATGAGCACTACACCATCAACCAAGCAAGATTACTTTCAGACAGGGCATAATCATGCTCACAAATGAAGAATTACCAAATGATGCAGAACGACATTATATCCAGCAAATTACCTGGAAGCTGTCCCTATTCCTCTGGCGATGGGGTCGTTCAGACCAAGTTTATCCATAGCTGCTTGCACAAAATTCGCTCCAATGAGCCCGGTAAGGACAACCACGGCAGCTGTTAGTGTAGAGTTTACACCTGAACAACAAGAAACCATGAACCATCAGTGCCCCTCGGTAAATTACTGCAAAGACACATAGAGGGAAGATTTAACACTAAGGATTAAGTCAATCACTACATGTTTAGGTCAAGTAATTGACCTATGGTTAACTTGCCTGTTGATACAAGCTAGGGATATCATGATAACCCACTCTCCTCATCTCTACTATAGGAACACAATCAAATTCACAGGAGGATGGTCTGCCAAGATTTACCTTCAAAGAAAGATACTATGCTCAAAGCCAGCGCCACAGTTATACACCTTGGCAATATGGATATGGTTAATGATGGCTCTAGCCCAATCAGGCGCCCTATGACAGCAGTTGAGTACAGAGAGAATGTCGATGCAATGGCAACTGATGTGAAAATCTCTGCTGCGTGCCTCTTTACAAGCTGAAATAAGTGCTCAGGAGCATGGACAAGTTGACGATCAGATAAAAGGCATTAGCAGTGGAACAGAGCTTAATCGAAATGATGTCACAAGATAACCATGTGCAATAGTACCTTTCTCTGTTTGAACATTGAGAATGCAAATGATATGATCACAGACCCGAGGAAACCCATTAGTACGTCACCGGCTCCAGGATTAGAGGGCGCCTTTGTGAGGTAATCACCTGGACAACCACTTTTTTCTGAGAGCACAGTGATATCATGTGTATGTTCTATGTTACTCCAGCGCTAATGCTTTGAAGGCAACTCTTCTGAAACTAAAATTTTTTGTGATATAATTGTAGGACTATATATTAGGGTTTATAGCTTATGAACCAAGCACAGCATCAAGTCCAGACCCGGAGAGGTACCCATACGCTACTGCCGCCAAATCTGCAGAAAGTGCGCTGGAGATGATTGGATGTAACACTTTCTTTACACCAGCTGGTAACCTGAAAATACCCAGATCGTCAGACAAAATTGAATAAACTGTTTGCATACTTTGGATCCTATTGATCGAGTTTATATAAGCATATTACCCAGAACCAACCATGTATCCCAGCACATTAGCAGCAAGCAGGAAACGAAGGCTTGTTATTGCTGTGGTACCAAGTGCCGTGGGATTGAAATACGCAACACCAAATGATGCAATGAATATGGCAGACCATGCCCAGATTTCCAATGTAGAAAATGGTGACGGCTTGCTCATGGGCTCTGTGTCTGTAATAAGCTCTGTTTTCACAAGTTTTCTCACAGCTAACACTGTATATCCTGCAACCGCGAGGGTAGCAAACCAGCCACCAACTGAAAAAGCGGGCAAAATCAAAACAGTATAAAAGTAGCTGTTCCAATTTAATGTTTTGAAAGGAAAAATGGGACTACAAGGAAAAACTAAGGGGGTGTTTGGCAGGGCTCCTCCTGAGGGGCTTCTCTGTTTTTCAATAAAAAAACGGCTCCTCCTCCAAAACGTTTAGCAAGCTTCTCCGGAGGAGCCGGAGCCGGGAAGGAGCCCGGACCTAATGGAATCTAATTCCTTCTGTAGCATTTGTTTCATGTGCAATCATATCTCATAAGTAGCTAAACATAACACAGAAGATCCTGACAGCATATATATAGCAATGAAAAGGATTGGTAAGGTACCTCACAATTTTCAAAATTTTGTTTACTGGGGCTGCAGGTTACTAAACTGGAGCCTGAAATCATACAGTACTGCAACATGACATGCAGTGCAGGGAATGCTTACTGTTACTGGTACCGTGCTGCAATATCTAAGAGCAGGGTGCATCTTTCGGGTTGTAGTTCTGCAGGTCTGCATAATGAGGAGAACCTCATCTACCTTTTGCAAATGAACTGGTTCGTTTCGGAAGTGTTGAGTCATAGTGTCACAATTCAAGTTTAAGTCGTTCCATCATGTTATTAGACAGATAGAAACAAATCAAATTCGCTGTAAAGAGAAACAATGACAGAAAAAATGTGATCGAGAATAATACATACAAGTGATTGCAAAAATCTTGAGTCCTGAAGCCGCTGGGACATCCCTGACGGCGAGCGGTAGCACGACTAGTGTCGGGACGTAGAACAAGGGTAGCCACCTCTAGATGAATAGTGTGGCAGGCGCAAAGAAGTCCATGAACGCCTTGGCGAGAGCAGGCACGAATGTGTCGAAGACGACTAGCACGGAGAAGACAGAGAACATGCCGAAGAGGGCGCTTGGGAACTTGATGGACGCGGCGACGAATGCCTGTTTGAGGAATTTGTCGGTGGCGAACACAATGCCCAGTGACACAAGCAGATGCGCCACCCCAAGAATCTGCATACACGCATCTTGTTCAGTTCTAGAAGAGAGGAAAAGATATGAATTTTAATAAGAGCATTATAATGTATAAAGGAAAAGATGAAAAGAAGCGTCTTCTCACGGCGGACAGCAGTCCTGAGGAAGCAGCACTGGCGTCTCCGGTGCCAGCAGTGGAGTTGGGGACGATCAGACTGCGACGAAGGTCGGACGATGACGATCGCTGAAGCGTGGTGGCGCCATTGTCGGCTGGACCCATGAAGCTGGTGTTGCTGCCAGGGATGCACTTCAATGCTGCTGTTGGGCGGACCCGAACCCGGCGCGGGGAGACGGTGACGGAGGAGGAAGGGGAGCAGCAAGAAGAATGGGGAGTGAGCAGTCTGCATCGGCGGCATCGAGGAGGAAGCGTGCAGGAGCGGGCGACCGACGTGGTGCGGGGAAGGGAGGAGAGCGGGTCGTGGCGGCAACGTAAAGTGGTAATCCTAATCATGGCGGTCGCGGCCATGGAGTCGGGAATCGTTGTTCGCGGAGTGCAGAGGAAGCGGCGCCAGAGTTTGGGCTTCCCTCTTGCTGACTGATGTCCGGCTCCTCCCACGTCCGGAGGAGCAGACGGAGGCTAGGCAAGGTGGCCACGGAGATTCGATTCGTCGGGATGGGAATGGGATGGGAGCTACTGAACGAGCGAGCGATGGAATTGTGGCTAGAAATTATCGGCATGGCAGGGAGCGAGCGAGGATGGGGTTGGGATTGAGATCGTTGGGTTGCAACTTGCGAGACCCAAACTCAACTCACCTGATCTCGTCCTCTTCTTCGAACGAAAGCGACGGCAGGAGCGGAGTACCAACCAAGGGCTACTGGGATAGCTAACCGCGCCGCGGCGCCGGCCGCCGTCACCGGCTTCCGGTAGTTCCGCCCCATCCGGCCGTCGTTCCCCTTGCCTGTTGCGGTTGCGGGCCCTGGGCCACAATCTTTCTAAATGAAGGCACGCCCAGTAGCGCTCTGCCCTGCGGGCCGGGCCACTCGCACAAAGCTATAAGTCGTTAGTTAGACTGTCCACAACGTGAGTGTTTTTCGATGCTAAAACAGACGGAGCATCGGGTAGTGACGCTGTGGCGACCATGCTGACGTCAAATTCACATGACCCAACACATTTTCATTTCTCGGTGCTTAGAACAATAAAGTATTCTATTCCAGCCGGTACTGAGGAGTCTCTCGCGCTAGAAAGAGTTGAGAAGGAAGGGGATGGTTCTGATGGTTGGGGTCCACACACAAGAAAGAATTGGTGTGAACACTTCGAGTATAAAGGAGTTTAGGCATCGATACCAGGTGGCACTTAGAAAAATTTCAGCACCGCTAACGATGTGGACAGTCTTACAAAAAAAAGTTCATCAAATCAATCCTTAAAAAACAAAACAAAACAAAACACCAGTTCAAGGTTGTGTCTCGACCAACATCGACTTTTGCTTCACACGCAACGCTTCCCAACACCGCCCCCGCCCACACCTGCCTGCTCTCTCTCCTAACCAGCGATCTTGTCGGTGGCCAGAGGAGCGAGAATATGCTTCTGTTCCCCTTAGTAGTTCTTAGTTTTTTTTTGGGAAATCCGTAGCTCTTAGTTAGATTTGTGGATCCTTATTGATTTAGGCTTTGGTTCTTGGTGTCATTGATAAGGTGGCTGTGATGATGATACTTAGGAATAATGTCTCTCTAGCCTCTCTCTACCTCGACGACGTTCGATCTAGCGTCGGTGAAGGGCCAGCAAATTTGTTTGTTCTTCTACAGATCTTGACATTTCGTGTGCTTATCAGAGGGAATAGGATTGGCATTTGATGTGGCGATCTCGACCACTTCTTTTGGTGTGTCCTACAGCAAGATTCGGCATCTTGAACATACTGTTTTGATGGTGAAGGATTGTAAGTCTGGGTTCTTTGGAGGATTCCTTCAGCCGTTATTCTTTTAATGGATACTAGATCTCGTTATTAGTGGTGAGTGCCTTTTTCAGTCTTCAAAATCTTGTTTAACAAGGGTGTAGGTATCCCTTTTCTTCTTGACAGTGCGATCTTCAAACTCCGGTAGGCAGTGAATGTTCGAAGGAAGAAGAAGACCGATTTACAGCCTGTTCGGCTGGGCTGGCTGGATCGTGGATTATTTACTGCTGGCTGGTTTGACTGGTTTGGTGTGAGAGAAAAATAATGTTCCAGCTTATAATCCACGATCGTATACGATCGTTTACGGCCTGCCGAACAGGCTGTTAGTCTTTGATGTACTCTTATTTTTAGAGATCATTTTGTGTCTTATTATCCATCTTTTGTATGAGTCTTTATTTTTTTTTAGATATATCAGATGTGACACTCTTTTTAGTGTTTTTATAAAAAAAACAAAGAAAAAACATCGACTTTTGTTGTTTCATTCATGGACATATAAAGACACGAAAACCATTCATAGAATTGGAGATTTAAGGGTTTGTTTAGTTGGATAGTAGACTATGAAAAAACTATAAATTATTTAGTTCAAACAACCGTGAAAGCATACTTTTGGTACAAAGTGTGCAATGCTCTAAAAAGCTAGAGGCTGTTTATGTATAATTATATGTTAGCTAATCTAAAACATTAGATGACCATTTTGGAAACAAACTTAGTTCTCGAATGCACTGCATTCATATTCATATAAATAGAAAGTGATACTAGTATAAAATATATATGACCCAATAATGATGTCTTCCGTCAACATAAAAAAACTCGAGCTTTGCGGGTAAGACCTGGCATTAATGGAAAGGTAGACGATCTTCCGCAGGGTCAAGAAAAAGGTCATGAACCCCCACTAATCAAGATGTGCCACTAACGTCGAGGACAAACCTGCGACCGCGTATCACGCTGCAACCGTTAGTGGACCTCGTATTTTCCTGAAAATAGCCTAAGGAGTGGCCTTTTTCTTAGAACAGGGAGTCAAACTCCCGACCTATAGGTTACTAGGTTGTGCTTCCTACATCCCTATCACCGTGCACGTTCTCCTTCCATCAACATAGCTATCTCCTTCTCGCATTAACCATAACATCGCCTATCCTACTGCGAATGAATATTATTATTCCCCTCTAAACTTTCATCTCCTTGTGTTTGTGCCGCTGTAATGACACTTCTAGCACATACTTCTCATTTGCATCACATCAAATCCTTTATCATATTGAAGAGTGGCTTGGGATAGGAAAGCAAAGAAACAAACCAATATAACCTGATAGCTGGTAATGGCAACGTTGGTAATTTTTGTGAAACCTTGACTCCACTGCTGTAGGCAGAGTCTAAGAGCATCTCCACTAGACATCCTGTCACAGAACCATCCAATTTATAAGAGCACAAGTACAAAAACAATCACCGAAACGATCAAATTCTCGAACTTGAGCCCATATAAACCCGTTAGTCAACTGAAATCTCGAAGGATTTCAAACCAACTTGCATACAACCAAGATCACAGTAATTCAACATAACATATCGTACGTTACAACATTTCGCAGACGTTCGCAAATAGATTACATCACTAGCAGTGACTTTTTAGCCATGAACCTGTCCTCTATATTAGCACCTGTACTAAGCAATCATTTTATTAGGGTGCAAACATTAATAACCATATCAGGTATTCATTGTGGCAACCTTATCATCATCATCCATTTAACCATATCGTTAAATTAATTGAATCTCGTACGTTGCCACGCTCACCAAGTTCTCACTATCCGGAGAGACGGCGATTCAATCGATTCCTATCCAAATTGGAGGGTATTCCTAAACACAAACCCCGCTTCTCCCATCGAGTCACAAACAAGTCACCTTTGGTACGATTCAGAGTCATGAGTCCGATCGATCGACATTCTCGAGAGAACCACTTTGCCAAGGTTGTTTGGGACTCTAACCCGCCTTTGGACTTATGCCAATGGCTCTCCGCACATCCTTACTACCTTCGAATGCCGCCACTTGCTCACGTCCCGGCCCGAGTCGAGCTACTAGGCTTCATGGTCGAACGACTTATCCGCCCAGCCTAAGTGTTAGGCTGCGTTCAACATGACATGAGGACGATAGCGTATCGGGTCCTTAAATGACTCGAGACGGAGTCACTATGTTCAAACCTACACAAGACTCGCCTTGGGTCTTAATTTATTATTCACATGGTTCTTTTCCACGATAGCAAATATAGCCAACCGTGATCCACCTCATCCTAAAGCTCGCAGTGACAGAAATCACCCGACTTCTACCGCACTAAGCATGGCTAAGCATTTAACCCGTTCTCGAACTTAAATAGGATTCCAGTCATGCGATATCTGGACAAGGAAGGATATATAATGCAGCAATTGGTTCCAACCAATTCCTATACTTAATGCATCATCAACAATAAAAAGTACTCAAAGTATTTATAAAAACATGGGAGGCTTAATATGCTCCGGGGCTTGCCTTTCAGGAACGAGGAAGGCTGGTGGTCAGGGCACTCGGGCAATTCCTCCACGACGACAGCTTCGTCGGCTTCCTGCACCTCGGGTTCCTCCTCCTGGTTGGCTCCCTCGAACTCCAGCAACGTCACTCCCTCCGGCACACCTATTGCATGAATGCGCAAGATAAATATCATGGATGCACATGAACGAATGTCAGGGATGCTCGGGGAATGCATATGTTCGCTGTAGTTTGCATATTCCAACTTAAGCCCTATTCAAATCACTTTACTTACCAAGTTTATACAACCTAATGTATAATTGCTCATCTTCAGTTAATGACCTAGCACCTGCACCTAAGCATATTCTCAAGTTAGGCTAACCCCCTAAACAATCAACGAGAACATTGCAACAACATACACTCAAGCATTTGTATTTCAGCAAATGAAGACTATGTAGCGGTACAGTAAACTAGCCATAACTGGAGATTTATAATTCCAAATGACATGCAACAAGATAATCTGAAAGATTATGAAATTGTCTACAATTCATTTTTAGACCTCAAAGCATGATTCAACACTTTACCAAGTCGAATTCATAAATCAACAGAACTCTGTCCTCACAAGGCAGAGAGTAAGCAAAACTGGAACCTAACTTTAAACAGCTGTAGTTTCTAAACTACTAGGCCAAATGCCCTCAAATTTTGATAGGAGCTAGATACATAAATTATCTACAACTCTTGTATTCATCACAATCACAGAAAACTAAATTATCATGGGGAACTTTCCAAAGTCCCCAGATCTGTCCAGAGGGACATAATGCAAACAAATAATTATTAACTTATGATATAAACACTTAATTGGACAAAACCAACTTTACTGACATATCACACATACCACAAGAGCACCAGAAAGTAGGGTGTCCATCACCAAAACATTTCTTTTAATACCTTTCTTAATTTATTTAATTAATTAGTGGAAATAGTAAACATATATGAAAAATACCCCATTAATTCTTCAAAAATTACAGTAGACACTACATGGCCTAAGTAGACTACCATAAAAATTTCACACCATTTGAGGAAGTATAACAACCTACACAAAAATGGTAAGGCAGAATGGCTTAAAATGGCATAATTAGGAAACCTTAGTGAAAAGTGTCAAGCAATAGATTACATATTTTTTCTAGCATCCTTAAGGCACTAGGACATTCTCCAACAAATTTCATGGTCATTGGATTCATAGATAATTTACAAAAATTCACCCAAATATCTACCAATGATAAAAGTAAAATCTATAACTCAAAAACTACACATGCAATGACTCTCAAATTTTAACCAGAGCTTCTACTATACAAGACTAGATTACCCACAAAATTTCATAATTTTTGGATCACAGAAACTCAAGATATGATTTAAACAAGTTTGCATGCATTCAAAAACACTTTTCAAGTTCCTATTTAATTCATCCAAAATTTCTACATAATGTGCTCAAGACATATTTTTCTTAAATACTAGACCCAACTGTGAATCTAACAAAATTGGAACCACCCAATTTGGATCTACAAAACAGGAGATACAAAAATATCAAATCAGCATTCAAAACTACATTTTTGAACTAGCCCTATGAATGCACAGCCACTGTCGTGTGGGACCCGGGTGTCAGCTGACCCCACCGGTCAGTGACCGCGAAAACAGAGGAGGCGGCTTCGACGGTGCGGCGACGGTGGAACTCGCCGACGGCAACTCCTCCGGCGACACCGAGGACACCTATGTGATCTACGTGATGCGGTGAATCGATTGGTGCTACTTGCTCGAGCTACGACCTAACGGAGGTGGCTCGTCGCCGGTGATGGCGGCACGGCAGAGCTCCGGTGCGAGCTGCCGGCGACAGCAACCCATGGCCGGCTCAACCGAGCATGGTGTGAGCTACCTGAAGTCGCCACGGTGTTAACACGGCAAAGAAACTAGGACGGGACGATTCCTAGCTACCCCGACCACGGCGGCCTCAGCTCCGACGAGGACGCGCTCATGGCGGTGACGGCGGAAGTGGCCAATAGGCCCTCACCTAAGCTCGATTGACGTTGCAAGTTGGCGGAGATGGCGGAGCTAAGCAAGGCAGAGCTTCTGGACGTGCTGGCTCAGACAATGGCGGGGCTGCGGTGGCGCACGAGCTCGGCTGAGCAATGGCGATGGCGGCGCCTTTGCGTTCTCAGTGCCTCGGACACGCGCGAGAGTGAGAGAGCGACTGAGAGCGAGCGAGAGGGCAGACGGACGTGGCCTCTTTGCTGTCGACCGCGGCCAGCGACGCCAGGCCGGTCACGGCGCGTGGCGGCCATGCGGCGGCAGCGGCCTGTGTTCGGTCGGCCACTGTGCCGATTCAGACTTTTTGATTCAGCGAAGCCAACCGAGCCTGACAACGCAAGTTGACGATGATCATACTCCTAATCCGTGATGATCCAGGTTAAGGTGTAGTTGACAAAGTTGTAGTATCAAGTGAGATCTTCAACTTTATCAATTGGAGCTCGAGCTGGTTCGGCTTGGTTTGGTAGCTACAGGGCTGACAAGTCGAGTACATGAAACTGTTTTTCAAAGTTAACACTTAGAAAAATTTTGTCTCTTGAATCAGGGGTAACTTTCGTGTTGTAATCCAATTTTGAGCATGTTCTTCACATTTTCATGACTTGACTTCTAAACAAAGTTTGTTCCTTATAAAATTTGCTACAACTTTGCTTTAGGTTGCTCAGACATACAAACATCCTAAGCTACACTTTTTAAATAGTCAAACACAGGAGCTCTAGGGGTCCAAATTGGTCAACCATGACTTGAAAACCTAATTAGGCAAAATGATCAACATGAACAATGTTCCAAATGACATCCTAAGTATAACTAAGGTTCTTAGGAGAATAATTAGCCACACCATACATTGGTCACACAAGAACCAAGCATCACAGGCATTGAAACAAGGAAGAACAAGTGAAGGGTTACTTTTGTTTCAAGGCCATGTTTCATATGTTTCATGATCTTGTTGCATGGTATTAACTAACCTTGTTTCACTAAGTGAGTGGCACATGTTGCACTTAAGTGTTGCACACTTTACATTTCATAAAAGAAACAACACACATGAAATATACAACATGTTGCAATGTGTCGAAATCATGTTTCATGTGATATAAGCTTGTGAATGAATGAATGATGCTCATGTCCATGAAATGCAAGTGCAAATGTGGAAGCCAAACACCTGGGGTGTTACACATCCTATCCCCTCTCCTCCCAGATCTTATGTTATACCATCTTCCTCTATATATTTTTAAGATATCTCCTAATTCTCTGCCCCTCTCCTATCGTTAAACATGTGTGTGTTGTTGCTCGTGCGACTTCAAATAGGCAGATGTTGGTGGCGTCCCCGCCCGTTGGAGCCTTACATTCCACATCACGTGCGACGGTGCGACCAAGTGATGCGTCGGAGTTGGATGCAAACTCACTAAGCACAGGGATGAAGTGTTAGTTATTGAGGGATCCACTCCCCTTTTATTTGAGGGGAGAAAGGCAGAAGAACTTTTTTGGTAGAAAAAAAAGGAAAGGATATTGGAGATCTGCTAGAGAAAAAAAAAACCTCATCTCTCAATATAATAGTTGTATAGGGACGAAGGGTCTTAGTAGGGAACAGCTGAAGATGCTCTCAGCCCGCTTCACTTTCTGAAATTTGTTAGTTTATAGAGCCCCAAATTAGATGAGCTGATATTTTAAAGTTGGTGGATGTACCTCTTTTCCAGCCGTTCCTAAGAAAAAAAGTTCAAGATGGAAATCCTAGATGGTCAAGATTTTGGTGTATGGTTCGAGACAAAAAAAAATTATTTTATGATGACGATGATAGTTTACTAATTCAATCTTTTGGCCACCAAATCTGGATGGTATGTTGGTGTTTCTCAAATGGTCATTTAGGTGCTTGGCTTTACACTTGGAATGCAGTCATGCTTGACGAACAATATCGTTACACTTCAAATGATGTTCATGATTTATATGATATCATACATTCGTATATTCGTATATATACAGATTATTAAGGTACCAAGTCTAGAATTTCATCACACTATTGTGCCTTTACCATATTATTATTATGGATGGAATATGATATATAACCACGAAAGAACATCAATCTCGATAAGAAAAAGGTTAATCTAACCCGTTAGATACAAAGAAACACACCCACGACGATGCCCAAAACACCGAACGCCTCTCCTATAGACATTTGTATACGGGAAGACTTCACATGCACCACAAAACTAAAACGCCTCAGCAACCGCGTTGCACTCTTGCAAGCGTCGCATTCCATTTGATCACACCACAAACCACCTCGGGAGGATGATCTGATAACCATCCGTGCGTTTCACTGACAGCATCACCTGTTTTAGGCTGTCACCGGTTCCTGCACAAGACCAGCGATTATTCCTTTGCTCAACTGTCTCCCCAGCCTCTCTTGTATCCGATCCTTGATGGCAGTTTCCTGAAAACAGTAATTACAAGGCATCAGATTGAGCTTGAATATTATGGACATTGACGTCTGATATCGTATGTCACTTATCTAACTAGGTTAAAATTACATTTAGCAACACTTAACAATGTTACATTCTCATAAAGAAAGATATACCATGTTGTGGCAGTGTTGCTCAAACTTCTCCAGGAAACCAGCAACCCAGCGATCCGCATTAGCAAGCCATTCTTCATGATTCAAACCAGCAGTCTTTGCCACTATTTGCAACTGCGAGGTATAATTCATACAAAGCTAGATATCAGTAAAACTGATTACCCGTATCTTCCATGTGATGGAAAGTAGCATGTCTTGTTCCTCGACATGTACTTATCAAGTGATGAGTCTCAAATCAACAGTTACCTTTTCCTGATGCGCCTTCACAGTCTCCCGCAGTTTATTGATCTTCATATTAACTTGCAATTGTTTCTCCTAATAAAAATAATAAGAGGAAGATATGTTATTCCACAAAAACTAATTATATCCCTTCAGTATGTGCCATCGGGGAAGTGTCTAACCTTGACATAGCTCACACCAAGATCCTTCCTGGAGTAGCCCCGTGCTAAATTCCTCATGACATATTGATTATAGTCCTTCAATATCCTCATTATGAGATCTGAAGTAGAAACCCCGTCTGTCCTTTTTGTTTCCTTGAACTTTCCAATCTTTTTAACCTAACATATAGCCCAACAATACTTTCAGCGCGGAAAGCATACAGAAGATGTATTTAACCTTAGCTATACGAAAGAAGACTTACAAATTCATAGACATCATTTGCTGCTCCGCTAGTATCGGCATAACTGCAGTTACAAAGAAAGATATTGTAGTTAGTTGAGCAGACTAGGAAGAAAAGGGAACATCTGAAATAGGTGTTGTGCAGGTCACACGTACGGCAGCGCATCATGAGCAACATAGTCAATCTGATACTTATCAATAAACTCCTGTGTGAGAACCCAGGGTGCATCAGGAATGACCTCATCGACCCACCTAAAGCAGAAGTCAGCAGACAAATACATGAGCGGCTATATTTAATTTAATAAATAAAAAACATGAATGTTTAAAATCAGTACTTTGGGTGGGATTTTCGTTTTTGTTATTATGGGCAAATACAAACCCCTCTTTTTTAAGGTCAAATGTTTTTGTCATGGTAACACAAAGTGGGTTTTCATTTTTGTTATGGCCAATACAAACCCCTCTTTTTTAAGGCCAAATGTTTTTTTTTCCCATGGTAACATATAAGTCATTGCAAAAGACTAAACGAACTCTAAGCAACGCAAAAAAGCATGAGCAGAACTAGCATATGCAGATACTCTGGCAGTCCAGTCTGCTGAATAGAGGCTGAAATAACTAAATAGCTAAGATATATGTTAGCATGAAAAAGAATCGGGTAGCTCCAGTTGAGCGCATAATTTGCTCAACCTCCATTCACAGCACGTAATTATACAGTATCATCAATTTAGAGGATATGAAAAGAACGAGAAACCTAGCCTGCAAAAGGAGAGGTCTCCTCTGAGTCGTGAAGCAAAATGCCTCAGGCACAAAAAAGGGAAAATACAACTAGACTTGTGCTGTTAGATCTTGACATACGGATAGTATAACAGGACACATCTTGGTACAATTTTGGCAGCAAAGCAGGCACGATTTGACGAATACAGAATGCTCACAAATGCGGGTGTGCACACAACGTCACACGACACAACACAAGGAGATACCTACTGACAAATTGGGCATGCTAGGTAGAAATGACCTGTTTCCAGGGAACATGTGAATACCTCTACTAGACTGTCCATCAAAATAGTGAATAATAAGGGAGGAAATGAGAAATGGTTTGTTTTGTCTGAATCTGAACTAGCTAGCACTGTAATTGTATTGTAAAAGGGTGTAGTGTGTATTTACTAACTTGCAGTGTCGCAGGGACTCGTATCGCTCTTCCTGGGTCATGACGGTCTTGCCCTTGTAGCGGTTGGTTAGCTCGTCGTTGCAGCATCCGACGAGGAGATAGGTGTTGGGGAACCTGCGAGCGAGGTGTCGCAAAACAACACGTCAGGATTAGCACTAGAAAATACATGCAGGCTGTGAAACGCGTAGGAGTGGATGGCACGCAGAGAATCAAGTGCGCCCAGAATTGGAATCCAGATCCAGCCAGGTGGTGAGGTGATGGAGGAGGTTGAGAATTGAGATGTCCACTCCGGCGGGGCGGCGGCGTGGGTTTGACGGGCACGCGCATGGCGAGCAGTAGGAGAAACAAACAGCAGAAAGGGAGCAGCAAGCGCACCGCGGCGGCGGTGGCCAGATCTGATCCGATCTGAGTCCCCGAGGCATCGGTATGGATGGATCTACTACTATGTAGACACCGATCGCTGTGCCATTGGGGGCGATCGATCTGCCGATGAAGAAAGGGAGAAGGAGGAGAAGAGAAGGGGCCGTACAGCATCTTGGCCTGCTCGAGGGCGCGGGCGTGGCCGAAGTGGAAGAGATCGAAGATGCCGTCGGCGTAGACGCGCACGGGGCGGTCGTCCTCGGCCTTCCTCTTGGTGGCGGCGGTGCCGGTGCTGGTGTTGGTGCCGCCGCTGAGGCCCGCGGAGGCGGCGGGCTTGGCGCCCTGCCGCTTCTTGGCATTGGAGACGCGCGCCATCTCTCCCTCCCCGTCCCTCTCGCTGCTTGGCGACGGACGGTAACGATTCCCGCAGGCGAAGGGGTCCAAGTCCAACTGCTCGTGCTCGTGCTCGTGCTCGTGTTCGGCTTCCTTCCCTTCCCCTTCCCCAGCGCTGGGAAGGGAGGGCGAGACCGCGTGCAGGCGCGCCAATAAAAAGGCGCGCACATCCAGGTGGGCCCGTGGGGTAGAGAGAGGCGGAACTGCGGGAGCCGTGTCACCGTGTGCAGTGCGAGGAGGGGGCTCGGGAGTCGGGAGCTGGGTGGGGGAGCGTCTCGTGTCGTATCCCGTAGTCGTATGTAGCCATCCCAGCCCAGTGGTACGCGCATGGTTTCGGGCTTTGGGTGCCCGCCGTATCTGGTTGAGGCTGATCTGACCGCCGAGTCCACACGTACTACTACTGTACAGTACTAGCTAGTCCAACCGTACCGGTCGGTACCATTTCCGCCCGACCAACCAAAGCGGTGGGTGGGTGTGCACGCCTGGAGCACATGGCGGCGGCACAAAGGTGTGTGTAAGTGTAAATCGCAAAGGCCAGGCTGGGCATCCCGGCCGATCCCGCTGAAGCACAAGGCGGATGCCGACACGTAGCACGCACGCCCGAGAGCACGTAGCGGCCAGGCTGGGCTGGCTGCTACTGTCGCGCGGCAGCATCGCACAACTTAACGTGTCTCCTGGGCTCCACCAACGGCACGTCAGCACGTGCACCGCTGAAGAAGAGCACTGCTACTGTGTGCGTAACGTGATCCCACCTCAATTATAGATTCTGCTAAAAAAACCTCAATTATTGACCTACTTCTACTAACCACCAATGCTTAAGAGCATGTTAGAATCTCCTTCTCTAAACTTCAGTCCTTTAAAAATTTTAGAACATTTTACCTCGGCTATGAGATTAAAGTCGTAACGTGAGGTTGGCTAAAATTTAGAGCAAACTTTACACTATCCTTTTTAGAAAATTTAGCTCTAAAATTTAGACAAAGAGATCAAATAAGCTCTAAATAGCTCATAGCCTCTAATTAAATTCTCTTTCCTCTTCTCACCACATTAACAAAAAAAAAACATAATCCCTCTATCCCAGATCGTTCTCACTTTTGAGAAGTCATTTTTTTAACTTTGACCAATTATATATAAAAGAATATTAATATTTATAATACATAATTAGTGTCATTAGATAGATCGTTAATTATACTTTCATAATAAACTTATTTGAAGATATAAATGTTGCACATATTTTGTATAAACCCAGTCAAAGTTGAGAAAGTTTTGATGTAGGGAGTATGTGATAGAAAATAGATCGTGCCGAGCATGCGCAAGGACATAAAAGATCACGTGTCCTCATAATTTGAGTTTTAGTTGTGCACCCTTTCATATTCATGTTCTCTGTTAGCCCATGGTCATGTCGATCAAGACCATGTTTACTCCATTCACTTCAAAATCTTGGACATTTGAAACCTTTTTTTTTTAGATGTTCATTTTTTCAGATATTAATTAATATGCACACAGTTAAGCATGGGCGTCGAGCATACCCATGGATATCCACAAGGTGACCCTAGTTCGACTACAATAACTTTGTATAACAAATATGAGAACATCATACGTCTAGCACAGTGATAAGAAAGCACAAATACAACCTATAGGTCTACAAAAAAAATACTACTCCTTATGCCATTTTTAGTGAAATACTGACAGTTATAACATTATATCTGACAGCAGATGAATCCTCGCCGTTAATGCTACGTCCTAAATAGTCAAGGTTCATGGCTTTTTCTTGATCTTGTGAAAGAGAATTTTCTACCTTTGTATCAATGCCTCGGGGAGGTCTTACCTCTCAGGATCAAGTTTTTTTATATCTAAATTATTGTGTGAAACTTTTCATTTTATAAGCCACATAAACCGAAACTTACGCAGTATAACCCTTTTCAAATCTGAATGCCATATATGTGAATAAAGAAAGAAGGAAATAAGGGTGACAGGAAATAAAAACGCGTCGGCCGGTGTTTGGTGAGCTGCCTTCTCCTGCTGCTGCTCATTCCTTCCCCACGGGCAGGTCGGCTGGTTGATTTGTCCGTCTTAGGCTAGCGCGTGCCCAGCCTCCCTGCCGGCTGCCCGCCAAATAAAATTACGAAGACAGGGGTCGTCATCAGATCAGATAGCAAAGCCAGCGACCAACCAAGCCCTGCCGCCTCTGTCCTCCGGCTTCCTTCCAGTTCCAGGCTTCCAGCGGCAGCACAGCACATTCCCGATCATCGACCGCATATTCCTTCAGGTTTTCACTGCCTTTTGCATTTCATTGCTTGCATGTGTCTTCTCTCTAGAAAGCTAGCTTCCACGCTACTACCTCGAGAACATCATGCGTGTCTTGCACCAACGAATTAACCCAGGAAACATTCCATTCCTCGTAGACGACGTATGCACAAGGAATATTTTATTTTGAAGGCAATATTTACAGTTAGCAACTTAGCATTTGACCACTGTAGTTCTCCCGAAATGTCAAAGATAGAGCCATATATGGGACCAACATAGCCTGAAACCGTTTTTAAAAATATGAACTGTAATTTGGCTACCTTCTTTTCAAATTGCAGGAAAATTCGACCTTTGCTTGGTATTCTTGAACGGAAGGAACAAAGAAAAAGAAAAGAAGAAGATAAAACATCTTCCTCGCACTTTGAATTTAGCTTAACAAGCAAACTAATCCAACAAAAGGTCATTTGTTCATCTATATGGGTGCCCTGCCCCTAACCGTGATCCAGGAGACCTATTCTATATTTCTATTCAGGCCACGGCAACTTAAAATAAAGCTGGAAATCGCTGGCGCAGCCTGACCGAGATCCTGCTTGGCTGGCCTGCAGTTTACAGTCTCGAATGGCGCATGGAATTGGACTCGGAATAACTTGTTGGACCAGCAACAGCGCTGGCTGCAAGAGAGTCCTTGAGAAGCCTCCTGAGAACCTTTCCAGCCGGCGACTTGGGGATCGACTCCACGAACACCACCTTCCGCACCTTCTTATACGGGGACACCTGCACCGTCACGAACTTGAGTAGAAAAAAAAATTCCACAAGCTATACTTCATGCCAGTGATTCGATTCCAATCCCATCAGTCTAGGTATCAGGATGTATCTGACTGAGAATAACGTGACACAATCAACTACAGACTACAGGTTTACATTACAGTATATCAAATACATTCATGGTGACCTTACTTGACAAAGTCAGGAACAGACAGATTAATTGACGCTAGCTAGTTTTTCTCTGCAACTCTCTCACACTCTCTCTGAAAAGGTCTCAAGGGTTTTTTTTCTTTTCTCGCCCACCACTGAGCTTTGCGCAGCCAGAGTATATCATTGTTATTCTTGAAGGAAACGATCGAGAGTCAATAATGGGAGGAGTGCATGCCAGCCTGATGTGTTAGCACTAGCTGACGTGTAAATTGCACCATTCCTTATGTTTCAAAAAAAAATTGCGTCAATTCTTTGGAATATAAGAAAGCTACCCGCCTACCCTAGGATTGATTCTTTCAGGGGAACGACGATATGGGGTGCCAAGGCCAAATCATCTGACCTCACTCGCGGTACCAGTTAGTTACACATTGCCATCCCTACAGATGGTGCTGGTACCCTGAGAGTGATGGAGAGCGCAGCGCATGCATGATGCATGCCCATGGCAGTATCTAGAAAGAGCAGAGACAGCACTGGTGCACAGGTGGGGAGCATGCACAGCAACCACAAACCACCGAACCTCAATCTTCAAACTTGCTAATATACCTGCCTCGTTTTAGTTACTAGTCCTTTTTGTGTGAAAGCAACACGTATCTGTATGTACTTAGATTTATTATACACGCTTGCCTGAAATTTGATAGCTAGGAAAGGGACGCGTTATGTATACTGTGACAACATGGCAAGTTGAAGCAGAACGAACAGTGTGTTTAGTATTTTCCTTACCTGCTTGGCCACATACTCCATCACTTGCGTGCATGAAAGGCCACTTCCAGATTTCCTCACCACGAAGGCTACTGGTATCTCTCCAGCTTCTTCATCCTTAGTACTGTCAGTCCAACCATAAGATTCTAAGGACTAGGCTAAAGCACAGGGCAAAATCTGAAGTACACATCAGGAACTAGCTACGTTAAAACTCACGAAGTCACAGCCACGTCAACAATTCCAGGGTGTTCGATCAAAATTGCTTCCAAGTCAGCTGGAGCTATCTGACGGTCAGAATTTTTTTTTGGAAAAACAGTTTGTTACTTGAACGAAGCTTTTTCCTCACACAATATATACAATAATAGCAATGGAGAAAGTAGTGCACTTTAGCTGGGCCTGCTAAAGGAAGCCTGCATACCTGAAATCCTTTGTACTTGATCACCTCTTTCAAGCGGCCCACTATGTACAAGTACCCATCGAAATCGAAGTAAGCAATGTCACCAGTTCGCAGCCAGCCATCATTTATTGCGCATGAATCCTCATGATTCAAGTAACCTGTGAAGAAACGTGCTTCAGAATCCAAACACATATGTGAAGTCTTATTAGGATTTCAGTCACCAGCTCACAGCAGAATAAGCACAATCAGACCTGCTTAAGTTGTATAGCAAATAAGCAATATTCCTAACATTATCTTTGAAAAAACTACTAAGCATCTGAATGCTAATTGACAATTAAACATCAGTTTAATAAAGTGCACGCAAAATGGTACTCGCTCCATTCCAAATAGTAAGTCGTTCTGTTTTTTCTAAGTACATAGTTTTTGCAACGTACCTAGATATACATTATATCTAGATACATAGTAAAAGCTATATCTCTAAAAAAGCCAGAACAACTTAAAATTTGGAATGGAGGGAGTACTACTTTTTGTAATCAAGTGACGGATAACACAGTTAAACTCATGAGACTGTACCTTTCATTATAGCTGGACCATGGAGCCAGAGCTCCCCACAAGAGCCTGGAGGCAGGCAGCAACCAGTTTCCACATGAACAATTCTTGCATGCATGTTTGGAGCCAGGAGTCCTACTGAAGCATACTTCTTCTGCTTTGAAGTATTGAAGCCACGAGTTCCTACAGCAGCAGATTCAGTCATGCCATAACCCTGTGAACACATTACATCGCATGACAGTGAGTATTTTTTCAGTATGAGGTTTCTCTATTTTCTAATAAAACAAGCAGTCTTTATAAAGCATTTAATGAAGTTCTGCAGAAAGAGCAAAATTGCTGCTGTGACTCAGCAGCATCACAACCTGCACAGCCAAGAGAATCTCCTAGGACCGCAACAAAGTTGAAAAAGAACCATTAATCCAACAGTTTTGTATGTACAGAAAATAAGATAGATATTCCAGCCTGCAATTTCAGTTCTTCAAACATAATCACCATTGAAAAATAGCGGCATGTTAAGATGCAGTTAGTGACTTGAAGCTTTTATGTCAGTAAAGCACATTTCAGTAAGTACTAGCATTGTGTAAAAGATTATAAATTAAGCTATTTCTTTTTTTTCACGAATGTACATGAGCATGTATTTCATTAAAAGAAAGGAAAGCGACCACACCCGCAGCTCAGTGGCATGAAGTACAGTGAGGTTTATTATACTTAAGAAAACGAAAAACAAGCTACGGGCTACGGCTAGTATCCAGATTACACATTGAAACCAGCTAGAGCAACAAGCAACCTCAGCCTATGGTATCCTACTTGAATCCACAATCTGGCCTCATCCTTGATCTTCAGTATGTGACTATTGGATCGAGACATCTTACCCTATTAGCCCATTTTAGACATTGAGGGTGGCCGACCCCTGTGACCCATTGACCTTGCGTTTGTAGGCTGGGTCAACTATCCATGGACCCAGTCCATTCGCATCCCTATGTGTATTAGTGTTACCCGAATACTTGTGTCCTATTTTGTTTTTCTTTTTGGTTTGCCAAATCAGAGAACCTACACCAGTGCTAGTGGCATTTGGCATTGTGCAAAAAGAAACTTGCTGAATCAAACAGCATATACACCTGTGTCGGACTAATTATATTGCCATGTCCCCCATTGTCCCAGTGAGGTGATCTGGGCATCAGCCATGCTCAACTAGGAAGGTCAACTTAAAAATTCTAAACAAGGCATGGAATCATATTTTGAGTGTTTATTAGTGTTACCCATATACTAGTGTCCTTGTTTTAGTAAAATCAGACACCATACAAGCGTCAGATTCCAAGTGGCATTTGGCATTATGCATAAAGAACCTGCGAGTCAAACACTGCACCCGCCAACCCACGTCGATTTCCATATTTTAGCACTCCCTTGAGCATGCCCAGATAGGAAGGTTAACTTTCAAATTCTGAACAAGGCACATGATCATTTTGAGTGTGTTTGGATCTCATAAGATTATGCACATAGTGATTGTAGAATCCAGATTCCAGATTGAAAAAAGTGCTCCCCCTAAAATCCACTTGTTTGCATCTCATTTTCATTCTCACAATTTTTAGGAGAACCAAACAAGGCCCTAGTGTTACCTAGACATTGGTATCCATTTTTTTCTTTTGCCATATCAGACAACCTACACCCACGTTAGATTCCTAGTGGCATTTGACATTGTCCACAAAGAACTTGCTGAGTTAGGGTCTATTTGGTTCAGCTGTGTAAAAGCTCTTGTCAGCTATGTGTTGTGAAAAAGCTATAAGGTGTTTGGGTAAAACAACTATGAAACCTACCCCCTCTTTTTTATCTCCCTTCAAACGGTTGTAAAATGTCTCTCTATTTTCACCCATTTAGAAAAGCAGAAAACTAAATGTCAAAAATAGAATCCAAGATGCTGCAAAAATTGCAGCTGAACAAAACTTAGCCTCAAGCACCCTACACGGACACCTCAGACACCTGCGCCACTAACTGACACCTGCACTCATGAGCTTGTAACACCCATGTCGAATATGCACACTTGTCTTCACCTATCTGCCACTATTAAAATATTGCATGGTTCCCTACTGTTAAGTAAATGGGTAAAACTGAACATTTTTTTCTCCTATTAGAAGACTATTCAGATTTCAGAGCAGGGCATATATTTGAGTAGACTGGAAAATTTATCCTATATAAAAATTGATTCCCAGATTTGTGCGCAGCTCTGTTCCGTACTTCTAGTACCAAAGCAGAGTCGTCCCCATCAAGCATAAGCATAACCAACTTGGGCAAGGTAGGGACGAACGAAAACAAACGAATGAAGTGATTGTGGGTGGGGTAAGGCACTAGGCAGGCACCTGAATGAGATCGACGTGGGGGAAAGCCTTGACAAAGTCGTCGATGAGTCTGCCGCTGGACGGCGCTGCACCGGTGGACACCTGCACCAAGGATTCCAACGGCATTGCCGCTGGCTTGGCGGCGTGCACCAGCGCCGCCATGATGGGCGGAACGACCGGGAAGTGCGTGACCTTGAATCTGTGGATGGCCTTAACGGCGTCGCCCGCGTCGAACCTCTTCATGATGACCACCGTGGAACCGAGCGAGAGCAGGCCCACAGCGAAGAGCGAGAGTCCGTAGACGTGGAACATGGGCAGCGCCGCCAGGTAGACATTGTCACAAGCAGGTGCGGCGTACTGCGAGGCCTCGAAGCGCACGAAGAGCTCGACCGTGGCGATGAGGTTGCGATGCGTTAGCACGACGCCCTTGCTCCGGCCGCTGGTCCCCGACGAGTAGAGGATGGCGGCCGCGTCGTCCTGGACCACCGGAGGGGCCAGCAGTGGCTCGGAATCGAACAGCAGCAACTCGCGGAAGGGCGCGAACTCGGGGGCGCCGTCGTCCGCGAGGTGGAAGGCATCGGGGACGAGGACGACCGGGACGCGCAACGGCGGGAACTTCCCGACGTTGTCGGGCGTAGCAAACACGAGGGCGGGGCTGGTGTCCCGAGCCCTGGCGGCGATCTCGGCGGGGGCGCTGGACGGGCTCATGGTTGTGGCGACGGACCCGGCGGCGAGGACGGCGAGGAAGGCGACGGGGAAGGCGATGGAGTTGGGCAGGGCGAGGAGCACGACGTCGCCCCCGCGGAGGCCCCCGCGGCGGCGGAGGCCCGCCGCGAGAGCGGAGACGAGGCGGCGGAGGTCGGCGCGGGAGAGGGCCTCGGCGGTGGCGGCGTCGAGGAGGGCCGGGGCGTCGGGGCGGGCGGCGGGCAGGCGGGCGAAGATGTGCGGGACGAGGGAGAGGGAGGGGTCGGAGGGGAGAGCCACCGGAGGGTGCGTGCTGGCGTACACGCCGGTGGCGGCGCAGTAGAAGGTGGCGGCGGCATTGGCGGCTCCGGGGGCCGCCACGGCGTCCTGCATTGTCACTGCAGATTTTGTGGCTCCCCTGGTCTTCTCGTGTCACTCTTGGACGAGTATAAATACGGGAGTAGATGCGATTCGGCGGCTGCGATGCGATGCCACCCTCCACCTCCAGTGGATCAAGGCGACGGCGTCAAGCTTCGGGAAGCAAGCTGCGACTGCGAGCAATCGTTTGCTTCATGCAACAGATTTGTAATGCCAGGTTGCCAGCCAGCCAGCCGCGGCGTCCGAAAAGAGAAACCAGCACCAGCAACACATGATGATGGGCTGATCTGCCAACACATGATGATGGGCTGATCTGCTGCATGTGTTGTTCATGCAACACGTTGCTGTATCATGTGTTGTTGGTCCGAAAACGAAAATAATTCCTTTTTTTATTATACAGTACAGCTTGAACACATAGGTGTCACTATCGACGGAAACATCCTCTACCTCTAAAAGCACAATATCATTAAATCATGGAATATTTTCTATGGTACAAGGCTCTTGTAACCATTAGGCTACGTCACTTTCACCGAAGAAGAATAAGGGAAGTCCTATTATCCCACACCACTCACCACATACATTTTCTTTCAATTATATACTAGATATATGCCCGTGCGTTGCACGGGGTCAAAAAAAAATTCTTCAATGGCCAATCAAAAAATTTGCATACCAGCTTTGTACACTAATCATACATCAATAAGCCTCTAAAATTTCAGCGCAGTTGTTGTGCATGTTGTCTCATAAGCACGCATAGAAACAAACACGAACTCTTATAAGTGCGTTTGGTACAACCCGCTTTACTGGTGGAGTAATTTTTTTCTTAGGATTATGGAGCAGCCTCACTGCCTAAAACTGTTTTAGAAAAAAACGTTTGATAAATAGCTTCATCTAAAAACGTTCGATAAATGGCTTCACCTATTGAAAGCAGTGAAATGTTTGTAGTAACCTTTTATATTTTTATTATTTTTTCTTCATTCATTTTTTTCTCACTTATTTTACTTTTTTCCGTTTCTCTCTTCTTGCGCGTCCGGCTGCAACTATCCAAGCGCCGCCGCCTGGGTGCGCGCTGGGCCAACCACCGCCGCCGCTGGTCTGAACAGCACCGCACGCAGACTCCTTCCTTCGCGGCCTCGCCACCATCCCATCCGCGTGTCTGGAGACAGACGACCGCGTAGGCGTCCCTCCAAGCCTTGCAGCTGAGCGCCGTGGGCACGAGGATGACGCCGTCCGCGGGCAGGCCGACGCCATCGCGGAAGCGCCGGTCGTCGGAGAACCACTGCTCCTGGACCCGCATCGATCGCCACTTGTAGCGGCGTAGCAGGACGGCGGCGAAGGCCGGTGGGACGGACTGATATATTTGTTGGGTAAAAGGTAACTTATGTACCTCGCTTGATCACTGTCGTGGCTATGGTGCCGGTGACGAAGTAATTACAGCGGGTCGAAGTAGAGGTAGACGTGATGCGCCCGCTAGGTCGTTGTAGGTAGCAGCAGTGCAGGCGTGGTGCTGTGGTGGTGGAGCTTTTCGTCGTTCACAGCGTATCCTCTAGATTGGCTTAGGGATTGGAAAACCTTGGTGGGGCGCTGGCGGCTACGGTGAACCTCATGTCTCGAGCCCCAGCCCCCATCTTCTATTTATTGCGCTGCGTGACAGGGGCCCATCAGCCAGTAGAAAGGTTGAGCCCCCCGATCAAGACGCGGATCAAGGGCCCAATTGACCGTTGGACTAATTAGTGAAAATCAACCTAACATTCTCCCTCTTAATCACACCTTATAATTTAAACTTAACTTTTTTTCAGTGCATAGAGCTGTTGACGCAAAACTAATAGCCGAAACAAGCAAGCCTTGTGATCTCGTGTGTATATATATATATATATCTCCTTTGCTTTAATCATCGGCATCCACGTCAAGCCCCACATGCATAAACGTGACTCTTTTATTTGCTTGCCTCTTCCTTGTACGTGGACCCCATCCACAAGCTTCACGTATTCATTACGTCCACAAATACATCATTTAAATTTTCTTGTGCAGCCCGGCCACATAATATAAAAATACTATCTTTCTCAAATATCTAAGCCAGACTCCTTTCTTTCCTATCTCCTTGCATCGTCTGCTTTCTCTTGTCTGGCCGAGCCTAGATACGACAATTGTTGTAAGGTATATAGGGTATGCATCTTGCTTGTACACGTATCTTAATTCAAACACGTATCTTAATTTAACCATCTTGCTTGGACACATATCCAAATTCGGCCATCTTGCTTGCTTGTACCCAGCTACAAGTTTGCCAATAATAATTAAACTGGTTTGCTGATTCATATATGAGATCTAGATAGCATGCATCCTCGAATCTGCCTTTTTAAACTCAATACTCGTCAAATTATCAGCTTTCTTTGGTAGTCTTTCACTGGCAATAACATTATCAAATTTTGGTATTAACACAGGCCCTTCTAGTTTGGAGTATGATTTTTTCATGCTTCAAACTATTTCGATCCGATGACTTTTCTTCCTGAGCTGATGACATCACTGGCAGCAGTATTACCTTATTCTAAGCCTCACCCACACATGTGAACTTTGATGTGTCTATCATACCACCTTGGGTGGTTGAGGAATAGAACGAATTAGAATCCAGTCATCCTCACTCCTCCTGCTCAGAAAACTTAGGTATTTGAAAGATTTTTAAATTAAAACATAGCTTTGCTCCTCAAATGATTCTCTCATATCGCTCAATGTGTATAGTTCCTCACCAAGACATTATTTTGTCTCTGTTCACCCTACTTCTAAACAAACTTCTGTGGAGTTCAGGTTGGGATAAAATATGTAGCGTACTCACCTTGCATATATTGTAAAGTCAAATCCCGGATCAAGGAAAGAAGTGTCATATTCTTAGATCAAGATGTGCATGCGTGCGGAATATTTGGTGGCTATCCTAATTCTACTATGCTCTCTAAAACATATTTCTCTCTTGTGAAATATTTTTGTGAGAACATGGGCTATCTTTATTTTCATCTCTTATTTTTTATTTATTTATCTATACTTTTTTTTACTTTGGACCTTTTTGTGCCTTTTTTTTTGCATAACTCATGTCTCTTTTTACAACAAACTTTTGAGGGAAATATTATCAAGAACTTGGAACATCTATTCCTAACAAACATATTTTTTTCTTCCAGTGTAGGAGCAAAACATTTTGGGTGGATGAAAAACATGTTTCTGTGTACTCCCAGTATAGAAGCAGCACATATATGTGGCGTGTACGTGATCTTCATCTTGGGAGCATGATAAATCTCTTAACAAGGGTCAACAAGACTTGACAAAACTCAACACAAAGTAAGTAGCTTATGTGGAAGGTAATGAAAGTAACATATGGTCTTGGTAGGAAATTCAATATCATTGAGGAGACAAGCTATTGATTTTGAATTTTTTATAAGAAAATTTTCCAAGCACTTTGCAGAAAGAAGCAAGGTTTCTTTCATCATACCATATCTCACTCATCAACTACTTAGATAGCATGCTTTTCCTATAATAGACTGTTCACAAGTGATAGAAATATAAGCAAGGAATAAGAAATATGTGAGCCAACCATAAAAAGGCATACCTCACATTCGCAACTCGTACTCCATTCTGAGCCGATGAGCATCTTTGCTTGAAATTATCGGCCTCACGTCAATTATCTTCTTTTTGGCCTTCACAACTCCAAAATTGATTCTCCTTTGCATTTCGCAATCAGCTTTTATAAGCCGATATCTTTGATGACGTGCTTGATTCAACTTTCTTGAACTTCTGACCGTTCATCTGTTTTTGCCGATTAGGAGCTGGCCCGCAGAGCTTTATAATTATAATCGGCTATCTAGACGCAGTAATCATGGACGACTGCCTCCTCTTTGTTACTGACCGGTCAAGCATTTGGCTCAGTAGCAGCAATAATGGAAAGATTCAGAGCCGATGTGTAGTGGGTGCATAATGCAGTAAATTCTGCTTTTCATGTGAACATCATAAACTCCATGGTGTCCTCGGTAAGTGACCTGATGGCACTTGATAATATCGTCGGCAGCAGCAACACTATTTTGTGACCCTGGCCAGCAGCCACGCGGCCTCATCGTCGTCTCTGTCTTGAATGCATGAAGGGCTTTACGATCAATAGTTTGTAGCAGTGATGCATCTGTACACAGATGCAAGTCTCCATAGTCCCCTGGTGGCTTGCTTTGTCAGCTAGTACAGTGCAAGCCACGTACTGCAACATATGTACACATACTGGTGTACTGCATGGCTATACACGCAAGAATCTGTTCTCTTGTTTGCTTATTGATGTGCTCTGATAGTCCTTGTGAAAGGCACGCACTACCAGCACCTCCGTTCATTTGAACGAGGAAGCTATACGATGCGACGCACTACCGGAGACTGTGTAGTTACCGAGTGCCCCGACAATTACCGAGTGTCAAAAGTCGGGCATTTGGAAAAAAGTACTTACCGAGTGCCAACACTTGGAAAACATAAACACCTGGTAGTCAACCGCTTTACCGAGTCAGCACACTCGATATATTCAGACACTCGGTAAAACTACAAGTTTACCGACGGGGTGCACTCGGTAAAAAACGGTCACTTTCGGTATTAACGTGCCCGTCACCTAGGACAGCAACCGTGCCCAGACGGCGGCGTCAAGGCATGACATGTTTACCGAGTGTTATGATCATACACTCGGCAAACATGAAAAATTTTACCGAGTGTTGGGCCAATACACTCGGTAAACACTATCTTTACCGAGTGTAATTGGCCCAACACTCGGTAAAATTCAACCAAATTTCTTGTTTTTCCCTTCATTCTTTTCCTCTATCCACATATGATATTTAGTACTCCATTCCAAAATATGGTGTTTATTTCGATTTATTTACTATATTTCACAAAATTTTCATTCTTTATGAAAATTAGGAACATATCGTGTGAATTTAATTGTAATAATTAAAATCGAACTCCATAAATCACAAGATTGGAAGAATTAACATTGAAGCATACATCTATGTTAT